AGTGCCTGAACGGACCTCCGTCACGGCGCATTTCCCACGCCGGGTGGATTATGACTGGGGGAGAAAAGGAAGGGCCACGGTGGAGGGTGGGGCGTGGGGGCATCTGCAGTACCTGGCCTGAGAAGCCCCTTTCTGTGGCCACAGTCCCACCACAGCTAAGAGTAAAGTTAACCCCGCCCTTCTGGGGCTAAAACAAAACAATTATGCTAGTGGCAGTCATTCATTTAACAAATTAAGATTTAAAAAACCCATATTACAGATGTGTACCCCTTCTCCTGCTAATTCTCACCTCCCTGGCACGTGTGGGCACCCCATCTCCTCCTGTGTCTGGCCATGTGTGACCTTTGCCTATCCTACTTAGGCGACCTTGGGCTTTGTTCATGTACGTTGATGTGCATCTGTGAAGGGGCTTTGTCTTCTTGTGGATGGAGTTTCGGTGCACCCTCCTGCCCCCCTCCCAGGGCCTTCCTCTATTCTCTTTGACCTGTTACCTATCCTACCTTTTCCTGTTACCTGACCTCGCCTGGACTCCCTGCTCACCTGTGTTTCTGTCCAAGGCAGTCACAGCTGTATAAAGACAGCGAGTCACACTCACTCAGGCCTGTGCTGAGGGTCTAGGGAAAACCTGGGCTTTCTGCCAACAACACAGAATCTGGGGTCCTTGGAGAGCCAAGGACACTGCGAAACATGCAAACAAACCCTAGGCAGCTTACCAAGCAGTTAATTAAACCATAATTATACAGACCGAACAACAAGGAATACCCAGTGTAGTTTCATGGCATCAACTCCTTATCCCACCTCCCTAGTAAACAGGGCAAAACCCAAAATGGCCCTAGTGAAGCAAAAGGTGCCTGCTTTGGTCCAATCTGATCAATTTCTTTCTAGCTTAACACCATTTGATCTTTAGGTTCCCGATATCTGTCCATGAGGATGGATCATTTCTCATGTCCTCGCTGGTCCACCCAAAGCAGGCGCGTCTCAGCCCAGGACCAGCAGTTCATCAACTACACACCTCCTGCCCAGCTCGCACTGTCCAGCCTGTGATTTAGACACGTCTGTGCGCTGCTTGAACTTAGGAGACTCATGCTCCTCCCATTTGCTCCCTGTGAAATGCGGGCAGCAGCCACCATTGCTCTGGAAACAGCTTCCCTCCCTCTGCATTATCTCTGCCATGGGCAGGAGAAGGTGTCATCCTCACCATCCTTACCTCGTGGTAGAAAAGGACCATCTTAGTTGAGAACTAACTTGTGAAACCTCCCCCAGTGCGCAGAATTGATGGGCGTTTGGTTACTCGCTGTCACCTGTGTTCAGGCATCTCCAGCCGCAGGCGTGCTCTTATTAAACCATTCCAAGCCTGCTATGGGTGGATTAGGTGAACGTGATATTTTCAGAGGTTTAGACAATAAGAGCTATCACGGTGTGCATCCTGTCCTGAGCACTTTCCTCTATCACCCCATTTAACAGAATGCTAATCTGTCTAGGAGCTCATTTCACCAGTATTCGGCTTGTGCTGTGCC